AGAACAATTATACTGGAGGCTAGATTGCACTAGAGACAGAATCTAAAGGTGCTAAAGGTTTATTTCACTTTTTTGGACAACCTGATGTAAGTACAGTATCAATTTATCAGTTTTGCCATGAAATAAAAAGACTATTTCTTAAAAGCTGTGCTTGATCCTTGTTTTTTTTATGTGACAGCGCATTGTTGTTGCATTTACTACTTTTATACCATACTCTTTTTTTTCATAGGTGATTACAAAGTTGGCAGGTATGGAGGAAGAGGACTTGATGTTCTCCTCCAGAGATGACCAACACCAGCTGCTTCAGAAGGTCCTAGCTGCTTCAGACCTGGATGCTGAGGAGGAAGTGGTGGCTGGGGAGGTGGGCGGGCGACCACAGGTAAGGACTTTTACCAAACTTAGAATCATAAAGCACATGTACGTAATTGCCTTTGCATGCTTACAGTTGTGCTGTTTTATATAACAATATTCTCACTTTTTTGCTGTCACTTCCTCATCAGTTCTCAAGGCGAACAGGCACCATGAGCTCCATGTCAGGTGCAGATGACACTGTCTACATGGAATATCAGCGAAGCAGCAAAGCCTCAGCAGCAAGCAAGGGCGTCCATCCATTGTTCAAGCGCTTCAGAAAGTAGATGACTCAAACCCTGACACCTGAAGATACTTCTCAGTTGCAATAGGGCGAGATTGGGGCACAGTAATGTATAGTGAGGTTAAGCACCAGGCTATGAGAAGCAGGTTCAGATGGTCCAGCTGGTCTGGAGAACAGAGCAATAACTGGAGATATCCTAAAACTATTTAGTATTATCTAAAGCTAAGGATGATATACTGGACATTACTTCCACATAGTAGCTGATGGTGATGATGGTTGAAATGCGGCAAATGATGCCTACAGGGCTTGGCTGCTTTGTGATAAATTTGAAAGTTTCAGCTCCAGCTCCCTTAGGCACCTACATGCACAACATTTGCAGATGAAATGGACCGCAAACTCCTTTCAAGCCTTTGTTGGCTCTCATTAGGAAAACAAAACACACTTGATCGGTCATTTTTTTAAATTTCTTTGTTGACTGGCCAACTGTTGTGAAACAAAATAAGACAATTTGTAAAATTTAAGTTCAAAATTCACTTGAAGGCTTTAAATATTTTCAGTACATTTCAGCCACAAATGTCTGTATCTAGGATGAGCTGATGGGCTCTGAAGTATGATGGATGTGTGATATTAGCCTTAGTATATAAAGATGAGCTCTCAGTCATTTGGCAGTGGGTAGAATAACTTGTCTTATATACTGTTGGTGGTTCCTTCACTGACAACTGTGGAAGAGAACTAACAATGAATGTTGGACTTTTTCTGTACAGCTTTTCATAAATTTAGTTTTTTGCAAGCGACAAGGAGAAAACTTGTTTACATCAGTAATTGCCAAAGGCTCCTAAGAAATTAATTGATTAAAATTTGGCAAAATGGAACACGACATTGAGTTTAATTGAAAATCAATAAGTAAAACTATAGAAAACACATAATTGTTGTTCCTGCGAGCAATTAATAGTGACAATGGTCACTAAAAGCAAAAGAGTGAAGAAAGTGTAGCTGCAAGTTTCTTTCCCCTTTAAGACTGAAAGGAGCTTTACTTGGACTTGGCATGATTAAAAACCGGGGCTAGAGAGGGGTGAGGGGTTGGGGATCTACTTCCTCCACTTGTTGGTGACTTGCTTGTTGTGCAAGCTGTCAAGGTGGCGAGTGTGGAAAACAGGTGGCTCTGCCCACCCTTCATTAGAGCATAACTCCCTCTGAATGGCAACGTCTGTGGCCCGGTTGGTTTAATCCTTTTTTTGTGTCCTCTGGAGACTTCAGGCTTAGTATCTTGGAATGCGTGAAACGTAGTGAGGTAGATTGGATTTCACGTGTTGAAATGAGTGAGAGAGAAGATGGACAATACAGTTACAGCACAAAGAACAACTATCACAATGACAAATGGTACACAGATGACACCATGATATGTCTGATTCATATCCTTATAATTGATGCAGGGTTTGTGAGTTCTGTTAACTGTAATTGTCTTCTGTAAAAGAAAAATGGCTGTTTTAGCTTGATGTTTTAATTTCTCAGAAACTGGCCATAGAAATGTAATTCCAAATTTGATTGTATAGACTTTTAACCACATAATGCATGCATATTTTTTGTTTGTTGCCTGATAGAAGAACCTTTTTTTTCTTTGACCACACTATTTTACGACAGCTAGATCGCTTGTGGTTTGGTAATAACCCAGCATTAATCTTAAGATAAGATAGGATGTACCAACATTTGTCAACTTTATTGATTCAAGTTTGGCTGGCTGTTTTAAAGTTGAATTCCACAACAGTGACAATGCCAATGCTTAGGGCAAACTCTATCATTTGCGTGCGTTAACTGTGGTGGCTGTGTCGAAGAGGAAGGGGCAGGGGCTCCTCTGCAAGATTTTGTTTCCAGTTGGCAGTAAATGACTTGCAAAAAATGCACTTGTTATGTCAGATGCCCAAAGTGCAAGTGCTTGAGTACCTCCTGCTGTATCTGTGCACATGCTGTGGATTAAAACCTTAAGAGCATGGATAAGCAGGGACAAAGTACATGCACTTAATAAGCACATGGATAGAGTCCATCTTACCTCAGGTACACTCTGAATGTCCCAAGTTTTTTTTCTTGGATATACATTTGTGAGTGTGTTGTGCTAGGAATACACACATTAAACATACATGCAATTAGGGCATTTAGACAGGTTTATCAACTTTACAGACAATGTGTGTAACCCAAAGTATGTAACTTCTACTGTTTAGGACGACATTTAGAAATATTAGGGGGGGGGAGTCAGAAATCATTTGATAAAGGAGTCTTGGGCGGATCTACCACCACCTGAAAACACTCATGCAGGTTTTGCTTTGGAGGATAGAGAACCGATCTCACTGATAACTATTAACAGCCATGTTTCTGTGTATCAGTGTACATGCCTGGATTAGTAAATGGATGATGTGCACGTGCGGATAAACGCATGAATAAAGTCCTTTTCACGTCAGATACTGTCTGAATGTCCTAAGTTATTTTCTGGGTGTCAGGTTTTTTGAGGCTGTTGGTAGGACTGCACACATGAAAGAGAGTGAGAATTATCACCGAAACAAACTGCTCATGTCTCAAGCAAACTGCAAATAATAATCATATCAACACAAAAGTTATGTGCATTTCAGCAGAATATCGGTGCATGGCAATCACCCCTTTTACCACACAAGACAAAATAAATTTAATAAACATATTAGCACATGCACAGCCAACAGTGACATGTGCATACTACTGACAGTTGTCCCAAATAAATGTAGGCCTAACATACACAGCAGTGGCAGGAGCAGCCAGAATAATATCCGTTGACACGGCAGCTGCCCAACATTCTCTAGTGGGATCTGTGCTCAAAGCTCAGCACCGTGCAGCTTGATTAGCCTTCGCCAAAGAACACCAGAATTGGCAGGTCCACAGTTGAAGCCCTGTTCTCTTCAAAGATGAGAGCAGGTTCACACTGAGAACATGTGACAGGCATGAAAGAGTCTGGAGATGCCATGGTGAACGTTATGCTGCCTGAAACATCTTCCAGCAAGACCAGTTTGGCTGTGGGCATAGACTGTATCTAAAAAGCCTGTGGGTCTGATAGTCTGGGGGGGCATATCCTTAGAGGTTCGCAAAGATCTCCATGTGCTACCTTGACTGCTGTTATGTAACGGGATAAAGTCCTCAGAGCTATTGTCAGACCTTACCCTGGTACAGTGGGCCCTGGGTTCCTCCTGTTGCAGGCCAATGCCCGGCCTCATGTGGCCAGAGTGTGTAAACAGTTCCTGGATGAGGAAGGCGTTAACTGGCCCTCACATTCCCCAGACCTGTATCCAATTGAGAACCTCTGGGACATTGTACATCCAACAGCGCCACACCAGGAGCTCATTAATGCCCTAATGCCAGGTGTGGGAGGAGTTCTCCCCAGGACACCATCTCATCAGGAGCATTCCCAGACATTGTTGGGAATGCATGTGACATGTGGGGGCCATACATACTACTGAGTCTCATTATGATGAAAAGTTGTATCAGCCTGTGATTTCAATTTTCTTCAATTTTTATTATCAGTTGATTGAGGGCTGGATTGTATAATATCCTGATAACATATCCGGATACAGATCACATTACCAGGTGTAAATGGGACTTTGGTATGATGCAGACATAGGCTAATTCCCCACCTGCACTGTGGCAGTAAAGGTGAGGTTCAATGACGTTTAGGTATGTTACATTTAGATTTCATACTAGGCCAGGATGAACACCCATCCTTTCCTTTATTGCATCTCTAATTTTCTCTGGCTAATAGTAACACGTTTACTTACGGTGGATTCATATTTCGTGGTTTCTAGTCTATCAAAGGAGACCAGAAATGTGCATGCCTACTGGTTGCGGAGTTTGGCTATACTTTAGTCATTTTAGGTTGTTTTAGTTTTGGTGCTAGGGTTTTGCGGCGTTCCAAACGGCTCAGAACAGGGAAATTTCCAAGTTGAAATATCTGGCTTTCAACCTCAAAGCTTTTCAGGTGAAAGTGAACGAAAAACATGGCTGACCGTGACAAACTCCTTGTCAAGTTTACACCCAGTTGCACCCTCAGCACTGCTCTTGGTGTTATTTTAAATTATGCCATTTTAATGAAAACAAGTGATTGAAGAGGTAATCTTCAAAAGACAGAAAGTGTTGTAGGCTGCATTATACTTCCTAATGATTTCAAATGTTTTGGCTTTTTTTTTTTTACATTTTAGTGAATAACTTAGATGACTTAGAGAACCAGTTACCTAGCAAGGTCGGAAATGTCCGAGTTCCGTGTTGCCTGGAACGCAGCATTTAAGACGGCAATTAATAGCCAATCAGAGGCAGAGTTGTCGAAAATCTGGTGGGGGGAAAAAAACTGAAATACAGTTATTGACAATAGCTACAGTCCCTCCCTTCCTCTGAAGCAAAAGTCCAATCCTCTTTCACTGCCGAGGTTTTACAAGCAACCATTTAAAAGGATTCCACACAACAATCCCATGATAACATAACATTATCACCCAGAGAGGAGTGTTTGCGTGTGCCGCGAACATGTTTTTGCAGATGTGAACTCTGTACTTTAGACTTGTCAAAATACTCATTCATATCGTTTTTGTTTACGGAAACACCGAAAAGTATCCAAATAATGGCAATCCTGAATCATTTTACGACAACGTGCTGGAAGAACTTTCAAGGCCACCGTCTAAATAAGCAGCTGTTCTTCATTTTACGCGCATCGCACAAGTCAGCAGCCCGGGAGGATTTGGAGATCTCCGCGGCTGGAGAAGAAGTCATGTCTGAGAGACTGATCACACCGGGGAATGTCATCGAGAAACCCAGAATCAAGACCCTGAAGGAGATGCCTGGACCCAGCACGCTATCCAACTTGATAGAGTTCTTCTGGAGGGACGGGTTTGCCAGAATTCATGAAATTCAAGTAATGCGTTTTTTTGTGCTTAGGCCTACTAGTTTGGTTTAGCAGATGAAAAAATGTATATGTGGTTCCCACTAATGGCAAAGAGCCTATGTATTTTCAGTGTCAGCCCCATTTGCCACCTGTGCTGCGTTAAAGCGAACAAGCACTTTGGTCGCAGTGATGCTTATTCTTTCCAAATCACCACCGTCCTGTCATGTAAGAGTAGACAATATAAAATGATTGTAATAAATTGTTTACACTTCCATTAGAGATGGTTTCTAGCGTTTTCACTCCTATAATTCGTTTGGTCTGGTCCGTTAACAAGGTTGTAAACTTTGAGCTTTTTCCCTTTGGTTCAGTTTCTTTTCACTGAGAGGGAATTACAGGCGAACCAAACCACGTGAGAACGTTCACTCCACTTATTGGTGTCTGGCGTGAGCAAATTTTTATTGCATAATAAGCTAACTTCCAAGAAAAACAGTTCATGCAAATAAGATAAAAATGCGAATTACAAGTGCAAGTACGAAAAACATAATTCCGTTTCACCTTCTGATGAAACTGAATGGACTTGCATGTTATCAGTTTCAATGGATCGAAATAATTAGACAGGCCTATTTAAAAAAATATAGCAACATGTGGAGTGGTTTTTAAGAATTTACATTTGTGTAAAAGTATTTAGCCATCATTATCAAGTTATTGTACACAAAATCAGACCTAATCTAATATTAGGAGAGACGTTGTACCAACAGCAATTCCAAGATAATTTCAGTATTCATCTACTTCCTCCCAGGCATGGCGGTTGTCATGGCTGGAAACAGGCACATTCAGAATATATAGGGGAAAAAATGATTGAGGTAAAAAAGTTTATTTTTTCACCATATATTTTTGCTGAATCTCAAGGAATGGTAGGCTACTTCTACAAAAAATATAACAAATAAAATATGAACAACTCTTAACATTCATAAAATATAAACTTCTAATCATTTATCACCATTGATGAATCCCAGAATATTATAGTGTTTAAAAGCAGTATTTGGGGGTGCATGCAATTGTCGGCATAAGTCCCACTAAGCCAAGGAGCAAAATGTGAAAGTGCCAGTACTGCCTACTGGTGAGGACTGGCCCACTTCAAGCAGTGACTGTGACACTGATAAAGAATATACACACATTGACACACACAGACATGTTTTTTTTGAGACCTAAAGATGTATGAAGATTTTATTTAATTAGGGTGATTGTAGTAGTGTTCATTAAGTGTACTGTTAAAGTAAGTTTGTTCTAGTAGACACATTGAAGCACACGCACACACATACACGCACGCAAGTGAATCGGACATAGGCTGTTACAGAAAGAGAGAAACATTGTTCTTTTATTTCACTGTACCTGTGTTTGAAGCAGATAATATGGTGAGCATTCATTTTTGCTTTTTTGGCTATTTGTAGACAAACTTACCCTGCATGTGTTACAACCTACTCCGGGAACCGGGGTAGGTTGTAACAAAGGAACACCACCTTTTTTTGACATCAACTCACAAGGTCTGTAATATTTTTGTAGAGGACTGAATTGGTGCCATTTGTACAAAACAAATGTGGGTGTCAGGGACTGCTGAGTGAGTGCAGCAGGAGTGAGCCCAAATGCAAGACACTGTGAGCTGAGATTGAGTTCCAGGGTTTATTTATCCCAAGCACAACAAACAGGCATGAACAGAACTCACGTGGAAAGGAACTGGTACAGCCAAAAGGTAGCAACGGGTAGAAACACAACATAGGACAGGACTGACATGAGAAAATGACCGGACAGGCAGAGACAGCAAAGGGGAACAAAGAGGCAGGCAGAGTGATAACTGGGGGAAACAGACAGAACACTGACCAGAATAAAAACACTAAGACACAAAACTAGGAGCTAAGACACAGGGCTGAGAAGCAGGAAACAACCTATAACACATGACAGACCGGTACAAAGAGAGCTGAACAGAACCAGTAAATGAACAAGGGAATACACAGAGCTAAACAGAGAACACAAGACGAGGACTAAGAACAAAGACCTGGAACCAAAACCAACTAAATAGCAGATACAAAACCAAACCAAACCCTCAGAATAAAAACCCAAAAACACAGCACTCAGGACAGGATCGTGACAGTGGGTACTTCGTATAAAAGCACGAGAACTCTAGCAAAAAAATTCAGTGAGTTATAGTAGCTGAAGCAAAAAGTGTTACAACCATACCTGGTCTCCTCTATTATAAGTCAAGGCTAAATAATCAAGTTATTTCACATTAAGCTATCAGATTGTGAAAGTTTTTTTCACAATTAAAATAGAAAAACAGATGTTCAATTGTTTCTCTTTCTGTATTACATTCATTAGAATCAATATTAAACCTTAGTCGTAAAAATTCACTGCAGGGATACATCATTTATTTTTTTACAGTACATCTTTAGCTTTAGATGGTATAGGTAAACTAAGGTATCCACATCTAATTCTCTAAGAGGTTATAGAAGTACATCCCTGCAATATGTACTTCTTTTTTAGAGACGAGGGAAAACATTTCTTGAGAGAAGATCTTAATATCTTGTTATTACAATGCTTGTCTGAAAAGGTACATGACTCAATGATATAATGTGAAAAGTCTAGGTACCATTGATGTGAGGACCCCTTAATAACTTGAATAAGGGCATGCGGCATTGCTCTAATAACAGAACACACTAGTACATTTTAGTTTTTATTTATGACTAAACTCATAGTCATAAATAATAGTCATAAGTCATAATCATAGTCTTATTGCTTCTGTCCTACATTAGATGTTGAATAGACCATATGTCTTGCTCTATCCAGTCTTTAAAATAAAATGAATTCTTCTTTATCACAATTACATCTATGATTCCAGATTGGTGTATTTTGAAATTGGGAGCAAAAAACAGATTAATAATAATAAAACAGGTTCTGTGTTCTGGGCTAGAGCATATTTCTGGGAGAGAAACATTGTGTGAACAGCACAATTTGCATAATTCAAATATAAACTATTACTGACATTCAGACAAATAAAGAGATCCTATCTTGGGTAAAAGAGTTAAATAATGCCGTTGTTACAGACTGGTTATGGCTAGGGAGATCTAGTGACACTACTGGCATGGCCACCCACACAACACTATTCTGCTGAAATGTATTTAACCTAATAGCCAGTATGTAGGTATACTCCATACTACTTTATATTTTGATTTTGTAAATACGTGTGACCACTAATTTAATGGTATCACTGCTTTCCAGATGGAGCACACGAAGAAGTATGGCAAAATTTTCAAATCCCATTTTGGGCCCCAGATGGTGGTCTCTGTGGCAGACCGTGACATGGTGGCTGAGGTGCTGAGGGCAGAGGGCGTGGCCCCTCAGAGAGCTAACATGGAGTCTTGGAAGGAGTACAGAGACATGAGAGGCCGTTCCACTGGCCTCATCTCAGCGTGAGTCCCCATGAACCATTGATCTTGGAGTCTGGATAAGAACCTCCTGAAATAAATTACTTTGGGGTCGACAAGATAATCACTTTAGTTTCCATATGTGTAGATTGGCACAGCACAAAACTTCTCCAAAATCAGCTCACTTCTAGTGTGCATGCACTCTACTTCTAAATAGTCTGCTTTTGTATCCAACGAAGGTTAAAATGAAGGGCAACTGGACTTGGTTGAAGCTACTGGAAGACATTTCGTCCCTTATCCAAAGGACTTCTTCAGTTCTGGCAGCAGAACCAAGTCCAGTTGCCCTTCATTTTAACCTTCGTTGGATAACTATGACCTGGATGACTGAGAATCTTCATAGACATCTTGCTTTTGTATCTATAAATTTGATATAATGTACCTGTATCCTGTTTTCAAGGGAGGGAGAAGATTGGCTGAAGATGCGGAGTGTGCTCAGACAGCTCATCATGCGTCCCCGTGACGTAGCGGTCTTCTCTGATGACGTGAACAAAGTGGTAGATGACCTGATCAAAAGAGTACGTATTATTCGATCCCAGGAGTCTGATGGAGCCACTGTCCTCAATGTGAATGACCTCTTCTTCAAATATGCCATGGAAGGTTGGTAAAGATCCTACAGAGGTTGTTTGTAAGGGAATTAAAAGTTGGGCTGGATGAATTTGAAAAGGATTGTGCAGGTGTTTTACAGATGAAGGGGGATGGAGATCAGTGAGGCCATCATAGAGGACGAAAGACAGGCAGGAAAAAGAAAAATATGCAAACCATGTTATTCAATCCTCTGAAATTTAGATTTGTCGCATGGTGATGCTTGTCAAGTCCTGAAATGCTATTGCTATAGTTACCACTGCACACAAATGTACAAACCATTGATGTAATATGTGTTAGATTCCAGTGACACTTGCATCAAGAAACAAGTAAGTGGTGAGGAATCCTTGTTGCAGCTTTTCAACTGTTCGGAAAAGATTATTGAAACTCTGTCACCCTCTTCGTTGCCTTTGTCTTTACAGGTGTGGCAGCAATTTTGTATGAGTGCCGACTAGGCTGTCTGGAAAATGAGATTCCGCAGGAAACCCAAGATTACATCAATGCACTGCACCTCATGTTCAGCTCCTTCAAGACAACCATGTATGCCGGAGCGATACCAAAGTGGCTCCGAGTTATCATCCCCAAACCGTGGGAGGAGTTTTGTTTCTCCTGGGATGGCCTCTTCAAATTCAGCAAGTGGTTTACAGCTTGTCATTTTTTACTTGGGAGGCACATGAATACATTTTAGTTAACTTGTATGTTGTGTATTAGTATGTTCCAGTGAACTGTCTGCCTGCCTGCAGTAACTTTCATAGTAGAGTACTTTCATATTAAAAGTGTATTCCAGCAATTTAGCACTGCATTTTAGAAAAAGATTTTTAAACACAAAATTGAAGTAGGGGGCAGAGATATCCTGACATCCTGATATGCTTAGAATTATTAGTAAGGGTCAAGCTCTAAATGCTGGACGCTATGGAGACATTGTTATGAATTAGTTATTTGTTCAGATTTGCCCAAGTTTCTCCAGAGCCACATAAGAAACTATAAACCAGTTTTCACAGTGGTCCCCATGACGTAAACTGAACTTCATTTCTAAAACCAGGTATAATGGCCATTTCAGATTTTTTGTCCCTTTTTCCCTTTTTTCTTCAGAATAAAGTTGTGAGATATTTTTTGCATAGAGATATATGACCTGAAGTATCACTTTATACGTTTCCTGAATGGATCTTCTCCAGTCCAATGAGTTGATGCCAGATCTTTTAAAAAGATCATAAATAGTTTTTGAGGTGTAAACATATTAGGAAATGCTTTCTCTATGGTTCGGTTTTAAAATTCAAAACAGGAAATGTATTTGGAAGAACAAATTATTGAATCTTGTATAAATCTCTACTGCTGTACCATGGGATTGTGGGAGTATGTATTATGTAGTATCCTTTCCTTCATTTCCCCCGCTTCCCTCTGGTAATCCCACTATCTCTCTCTCTGATCGCAGCCCATATTCACATTGATAAGAGGGTCAAAGATATCAAGGCCCAGCTGGAGCGGGGAGAGGAGGTGAAGGGGGGACTGCTGACACACTTGCTCATTACCAAGGAGATGACCAAGGAGGAGATCTACGCCAATGTAACAGAGATGCTACTGGCTGGGGTCGACACGGTATGTGTGTGTGTTTGTTTATCTGCTTATTCAGAAACGTTAAAGGACGGAGACGTGTCTGAGGAGTGTAGAGGTGCAGTGAGCAAGGATTTAGCAGGAGGTGGCATTTTCTTGTTTGAGTCAGTGTTGAACTTAAGTTTCAATGGTTGGGTTTCTGCTGCCATATCTGTGCCCGTGTAGCCATGCCAGTGCCAGGTCAGTGCTTGTTCCCCCTCAGGCTGGGGGGGCTTTTGTTTTTTCCCCCCTCTGCATAAGACATCTGTGTTGTGTATTAAGTTGATAGAATTAGATGTGGATTGACTCCTCCAGTCTTCATGTCTAAGTGTCCTTGGGTAAAATACTGAACCCCAAATTGCTCCCAAAGGCTATGCTATGGGTGTGTGAGTTTGTGTATGATTTTCAGCCTCTGCCATTAGTGTATGAATGGGGTGAAAAACAAACTCTGTTCCTCAATAATGTACACCCACTTAAAGTGTGTGCGTGCATTTGCATCTGTGTGCAGTTAATGCGTCACTTGTTTGGGATACTGTCAGATTAATGAGAATTATGGTTGTTGTGTGTTTTGTTCTGAGCCGGGATAAAGCTGACTTCAGACCAAATCAGGTGCTGTGGTGAAAAAATGCAGGTCCTCCCATTCATTTTGAATGTGGGTAGTCGGTTTAGGCTGCGGCGGCTGGAGCAACCTGTGGTAGAAACATTGAAACAGAATGTGGTTTTGGTAAAACACAAACCAGCATCACGCTGCTGTGGCCAAACTCCCGATCAGACCAGTCAAACTGCTGCACAGTCAGCCTGAAATATTGCTGACACCGGGCGCTATCCAGGCAAAGTTCATGGACCAAACGATGATACACTCAGAGTTGTGTCCTTGCTTGGTTTATTTCATGTATCCAGCTTTGGAAGCTTCATTTGGTTTGTCACATAAAATGTTATTTTCCACCACACCCCCACACAATGCAACACAACCTTGCAATTTGGTCTGAATTCAGTCTATAGGGTTGTGTTTTTGCTGATTTTTTTTATATGGGTGGACTGAGCTGAGCCATTACGTGACCCTGTGGTGCTTTTTCCCCTTTACTCAGACTCATAAGAACTGTCAAGACATGTTGTCAAGCCAGAGTTACAATGCAGACTGGGCATAAGTGAGGAAAGGGGGAGGTAACTACATGCTGCGGCGACACAGACTGCAAGAACTGTGATTGGTCGGCTGGGTTGCATCTTATTTCCTCATACACATTTCCGGCTTGTCGTTCTTCTGCCTCAACCGGTTCAAGGGTCGTGCATACCATGTCCTCCGATGCCTTTTGCATTTTGGTAATTCCACTTAAGGTAACCGCTGTTCAACATTAATCAGCTCCAATTCCAACATGATCACTGAGAGAGATGGAACCTGGGACGATATATATTTTTAAAATAATTTGCTTATCTGCCCATGTCATTGCATTGTAGTCCAAACGGCAAACATCATGAAAAATCTATCCATCTCCAAATAGCCAATGAAAAATACTATACTACACATTCAAAACACGTTTAAAAAAAAAAAATGACCCTGTTCTATTTTCCCAGACATCCTTCACCCTTTCTTGGGCCAGCTACCTGTTAGCGCGGCACCCTCAAATACAGCAGCAAATCTTTATGGAAGTGACAAGAACTCTGGGACCTGGAACAGTCGCCACAGCTGATGATGTCCCTCAGCTGCCTCTCATCAGAGGGTTGGTCAAAGAGACTCTCAGGTGTGAACTGCATGGATTCTATACTCTCCCAGGCTTTTCTTCTCTAGCTGACAAAATCTAGCTTGCAATATGAGAAACAACTCAGCAAATAGGATAGACTTTAAAAATTAGGGCTTGCTTTTGTTCAATATGTTAACATGAGCATCTTGTAATTTTTTCATTATGTTTCTGTGTGTTGCTTTCACATGTATGTTTATCCTGGAATTAAACTTTGTGAGAAGATTATGGAATAAACTAGCACTGTTGAATAACAGTCTTTGTGCGTCTCTCCCTGGGAGCAGGCTTTTTCCAGTTCTCCCAGGCAATGGACGGATTACCCAGGATGATTTGGTGGTGGGTGGATACTTCATCCCCAAAGGGGTAAGATTGATTGAGAAAAAATACATGCAAGTCTTCTAGAGTGTGCATGTGCTGAAGTGGAAACCAGATGAACACGATCCTACCCGTACATCTGTCTCATACAGATCGATGTACTGTAAACAGGCTGTTTTTCATTACACAACAGACATTTTTCTGTTTTCTCACTTCATTAGACTCAGTTGGCCCTGTGCCACTACTCCACATCTTTGGATGAAGTGAACTTTGATGATGCTTTAGACTTCCGACCAGATCGCTGGATACGGAAAGATTCCACAGATCGTGTTGACAACTTTGGCTCGATTCCCTTTGGCTACGGCATCAGGAGCTGCATCGGCAAGAGAATAGCAGAGTTAGAGATGCATCTAGCTCTCACAAGAGTAGGTTTGACCAGATTTAGAATGCTGCGTATACATTTTCAAACAATAAAAGTAGAGAAATTAGGAAAACCAACTCAAACAACTTTTACAATCAGATCTTCAGACCTTCATTGTCTACAACTCAAATCACTGACAAAAACATTTTCTATATAAACCAGAGTAAATACTAATTAGCCAACCTCAATGGCCAGAGGAAGCATACCAGTTCTCAGTTGCCCTACTAAAAAAGTTTGGCTTCTGGATGAACACACTTATTGATGCACTCAATGTGTCAATATCAAGACTGACATGCCTGTGTTTTTGCTTCTTTTGCAGCTCATTCAAAAGTTCCACATTGGCATATGTCCTCTTACTGCTGATGTCAAGGCCAAAACTCATGGCTTGCTGTGCCCTTCTGCACCCATCAACCTGCAGTTCATCGACAGGGAAAACTAGACACAGACGCCTCTCTGTAACATCTACTGTAGAGCTATACCACATGTGAAACTATCACACTGCGATTATTTATGAGTAATGATTATGATACAAGTAATGACTTTAGTGGGAGTAAGTAATTTTTTTATTTCATTTTCACTAAATAAATATAGAAATGATTATGATGTGATTGCTGGGGTCTGTACCAAACAACTATGTTTCCTTAGGCCCGGAGAATATGATTTATAGGACGGGGCATCTCTGTAGCACCACAAAAATTTTTTCTCAAAATATGTGCAGATCCTGCCATTTGGATATTGCATTTGCCCATATTGTGATTTTAATAATATTTTGATTAATTGTTCAGTTCCAGTGTACTGTATGTTTTTAAAGTGCTAATTCATTATTATGAGTTTTTTATTACACTTCCTCTAGTGCACCTTTCACTTTCATATTGTAGAAACTAAGCCTAGACTGAGGTTTTACTCAGACAAGAAATGTGTTTCACTTTCTTCTGTGGACACGACAGTAGTAATGGACGGATAATGTGAAAATATTCCTGTATGTATATTATCTGTACTTTTGTAAAAACCACTGCAGACTTTCCATTCATTATATTCAAAATAGTGAGCGGGGGCAAACTATAAGCTCTAGTGCAGTACATGAATTAAAATAATGTAATGCCACTTCAGTATGCATAAAAACATAGTGGTTTCAAGAAGAAGCCACTCTACAATAATTTTTGTCTCCCCTTCTGGCAGTGAGAGTAATTACACAAACACTCTTGACGCCTGCTTATGATGTATGCCTACAGGTGAGCTTGCTCCAGGCTCCTTTTAATAAATAGTTACAAAAGTAGAAACATTTCCACTGTTTCAAGACAATATATTATTTAGGCAATGTAAATTTAATAGCTACATAGACTAGTCCAAATATTTTACAATGCTACATCCATGTCTTCCCTTGTTCCTTCACTCAGTGCTCTCCAATGTGGAAAGCGACACCAATAGTTATCCATATTTGTCCTAGCCTTAAATAACTTTCTTGTTTTGACTGTAATCATTTCTCTGAATGCAAAATTATCATTTTTTTAATCTGGAGCAGCAGAAGCTTTCCTTGGATACTTCTTAGTTGTTTTTTTACATAGGCTCTGCCAAATCTTAGTCGCTTTAGCCTACTCTGTCCCTACGGTTGCTCCAGAGCCCAGAGCCATGTAGAGAGAGAACTCCTCCTTTCATTTTCAATTCAAGTGGCTTTATTGGTATGACTACATACAGTACAATGTTGCCAAAGCATATTAACACTAAATATACAATCATACTAAACATAAATAAAGAAACAATTCTCATTTATAAACTTTCTCTCCAATGGATTAATTTATACATAAGTCCTGCACTCCAGCTTTAAAATAAAGCTTATTATCTACAGTATATCATTGAAGCTTTAAATACACTGTGATATTTTCAAATTTTATGAAGATTCCTAAAATACATTTTTTAAATAAATAATTTTATCACCCTATGAATTGGAGTAAATTAACCATTATAAAGTAAATTAAAATTAACTGTTAAATTAATCAAAGTAGAATATTTGCTCATTTAATTGAATGTATATCTGTTTTTCACACAATATATTTGGATAAAAACAATTTGGTTAATATGCTGCATCTTGGCCAGGTCTCTTTTGCAAAAGAGATTTTGATCTCAATGAGACTCATCTGGTTAAATAAAGGTTAAATAAAAAATGCAGTTTGTATGAATACAAGTATTTTACCAGAATATGTTGGATTATGATTTTATTGAACAGTTTTTGCAAGGGGACGAGTTGTTGGATTGTGTCATTATGAAGGATTGCATTTTTGTGTACCTTTTTACTGCAGTTCAAGTGAAATTGGGAAACAATAAAAAATAATGTAATTGTTATTTTAAACATTGTGTGTCTTGTTCTTTGTCAAGGTCTTTTAGTCCACAATAGTGTATTAAAGGTAGAGCATTACATAGCAATAGCTTAATACATTTACAAATACCACAAACACGGAAGAAAACAAGGCTTTTAGTTTTCAAAAGTTATGTTTCCGGAATGTAAATTCACACTGATGTAACCAATAAATTAATGATTCTGGTGACACCAAAAATTGTGCATTCAATGCCATGTGATGATGATCCCGCAGGGCGCAACAATCCCACATATTTCATGTAAATTACATTAGATTTATACAGCTGTAAATGACATTACTGTAGGACTAAAAGTTGTTATTAACTGTGAGCTGCTCAAAAGGAAAGTTACCAGTTACAAAGAGATCACTGTTCCAGCTTTCTCCCAAAAGAGCTTGGCCTGGTTTACTAAAAACGTCTTATGCTAAGTTGATTTTAGCTCTTATACATTACAATGGGACTAAGATTATCTTAGTCTTAAAATTACTTTGGAAAACAGGTCCCTGAAATGACTCTGTACATTCAATTTACTGATTAACCTCTTATTTTGAATCACTGATAAAACAAAAACATTATATAATTAGCTTTGATTAAAGCTTTGTACATTTATTATTATTGGTGCATTTATCTTTGCATTTTTATGTGACCCAGGCCAGGTCAGCCAGATGTCTTGCATGGCAAATTAATAGGGATTTTGATTCATTGTTGTTGTGTAAGTACGGTTCTGATTAGAAATTAGTACTATCTGGCACAGGGTGATTTAAATTTTTTTATTATAAAAATCACTTACAAAATCATTTACTATATAATACTGGAGAAACCAGAATAAATTCTAGTTAGATAGTCCACATTGCCTTCTTGTACAGGCTTTTCACTAAATTAAACACCATTTCAATTTTAATCATCTACACACCAGAATATTTCAGGGTTTCAGAGAAGGCCAGAGGAAGCATACCAGTTCTCACTTGACTTCTGGGTTAACACACTTACAGATGTGGCCTACTCAGTGTGTCAGAATCAACCTGCAATTCACCGACAGTGAAGAAACTGTCTTCTGAGTTTGCGTGTGTACAGTGATACCATATGTATCAGTGGTGCAGACAATATGATGGCAGAATTCTTCCTCTCGCGATATTATGCCAACGAGAACACAAGCGGAAGTAAATAATCGCCATGGCATGTTAGCTAGTGAGAGGGGTTCATGTAGCAAGTTAAGCGTGGGTGCTTCTTAGGTCTTACGGATAAAAAATAATTTACAACCTTCATAGTTAGTTGGTTGAAAGTTGAGAAATAATAGAGTCGCCCCTGTCTGCAATTCCATTATAATTACATTACGAGACTGGAGTAATCGTGCAGCACGCTTGGGGCCTGGAAAGACGTATGCTAACGTGGCTAAACTTGCTAACGTTAACGCGGCTGTTGAGCTAACGTCGCTTTTAGCGCCACAACCTAACCAAAGACCACGGAAGTGGCTAGTTTCACCAGCTAATGTCAGATATCCTTTAAAACAGATAAGTAAGGTCACCCCAGCTAGCGTTAACTCTGGCCGTGGTGAAGGGAAAGCTCGGCTGGATCTAAAATGATAATTGAAAACCTTGATGCCTTGAAAACATGGCTGTCTGATACCCTCGAGCCAATGTAAGTAACTTAACGTTAATGTTAGCTATTAGCGACACAGCTGTCCTCTCAACTCAGCTCATCATCTCATTCAAGCTTGAGTTACACACGCTAATGTTAGTTCAAACAAACACATACGGCACTAAGTGCAAGGGTGCAATTAATTACCGATAACGTTATATTTGCTAGGTTATTTGTCGATGCATGTGTAACTTATATCATTTCGGTGTTCGTTTGTGTTTTTGTTGTTCATAATTCCAGCTGTGATGCAGACCCTTCTGCCCTCGCCAAGTATGTTGTTGCTTTGGTGAAGAAAGACAAAACTGAAAAGGAACTTAAAGCCTTGTGTATAGACCAATTGGATGTATTTCTTCAGAAAGGTAATTAATCCCCATACTTCGTGAAAGCATTACTTTGCAAGCATTGTTTCATTTATCATGTGAACCCGCATGTGCTTTTGTCTGTGTACTAACGTTAATATGTTATATTTAATTTGAACTATTTACTTCTTTCAGAGACCCAGCCATTTGTGGATAAGCTGTTTGAAGCTGTTAACAACAAAAGCTACCTCCCACAGCCAGAGCAACCATCTTCTCTGGTCAAAGTTGAAAAAGATGAGCAGAAAAAAGACGAGGTATTATTGTAATGTCAACTACAACTCACAGAATATTTAAAAAAAATACTGGTGTTCCATCACATGTACCCTTAATATTACTAAATAATATGGAGAACCTCCTATGTCACTAGTTATTTTAGATAAACAACATTTACTTGAAATTACTTTTTTCTTTGTTCAGGCAAATCGAGAAGAAGAACGGGACAAGAAGTTTACTCGGCGAGTGAATCACAGCCCTCCACAATCAAGCTCTCGCTACAGTAGAGATAGCAGGTGTGTACAACTGCCCTTTTCAACTTTCTCTTTTAACTGTCTCTAACTCTGTCTTTACTTTTCACTAATGCTTTTGTTTGCCCACATCTTTAGGAGAGGAGATGATCGTAAGAGAGATGACCGCTCCAGAAAGAGGGATTATGACCGCAACCCACCGAGAAGGGACTCCTACCGCGATCGCTACAATCGCAGGAGAGGCCGCAGTCGCAGTTACAGTCGTAGCCGCAGCCGGAGTTGGAGCAAGGATCGCACCCGTGACCGCGACAGAGAGAGGGACAGGGATAGGGACAGGGACAGAGATAGGGATCTGCGAGATCGCAGTAGGAGCCGGTCACACAGCAGAACTCGGTCTAGAAGCAGGAGTAGAGGTAAGAACCTGATTGTAGGATCTAAAATGATCATCACTTTGTGCCAGTTTGAACTATTGTTTTCTGTGGTAAGGGCAGTGACACCAGAAACCGAGAACTTTTCTTATTCATGAATTATATATAATTAGAATTTGTTTCTGTATGATGATATATTAATGGGATTAGTCACAGATAAGTATCTGTGCCTCTAATTTAGAACTTGTATATTATCATATATATATTATCATTTGTACATCAACTTCAATGGGAATATATTTGTGAATCTCCACTAGTGTTGTCACGATACTGGAATTTTTAACCTCTATACAATACCTTGAAAAATATTGATACCATTTTTGATACCACGGAGAGAAATTGACAGTATTGATTAAATTACTGAATATAATTACTGAATTATCTTATCAACTTATCTTATTAAGTAAAATTAATAGTACTGTGTGTTAAGCAGAACAGCATCAGTTAAATTACTTCTGACCTTAGTCAAAGTATTTTCTTTCAACAGAAACTCTGCTGTCTGAGATTCTGATAGTTCTGAGGGGGATTAGCTAAATTTTGAGAGTTAGGCAAATAACAGGACAGCTGTCTTATCAACAACAGATTACTGGGCCATCTTGTTTAATACTTTAGTCATGTTGAAAGGGGAGATGTCTTCAACCACTCCAGGGGAAAAAATGTGTTTGAGGCCTGTAGGATGCTCAAAGAGCCACAAAACTTTGCAGCCAGACTCGAATGGGTAATATATGTATTTGTTGTCATTTTAGGGACTTTGGATTGCACGTTGTCTCTGTAGCGCCCCCTAAATGCATTTTTAGCCTTCACATTGCTAGGAATACTCAAAACCTCATGAGACTTGGCATGTACATCAAAATTAGACAACCTAGACAAACCATGACTGCATATAGAGGAATGGGTCAAGTAAGAATGAAAACTATGAAGACCAAACAAGATTTATAATTTTGTAACGTGTGTACAAGTCTATTTTCTCACAGGTGTTCCATGTCAGTCACTATGATAAATGGCTGTTCTTGTCTATTCACAGAACGAGATCCTGGAAAACTGAAGTATGATGATCGAGTGGACAGGTCAGAGAGTGGTGATGGCTACACCCCAGCATCCCTGGTCCCCACTGTAACCACTTCACAATTCCCTGTGCCATCACTGAGCAGCACCATTACAGTCATTGCCCCCACACATCATCATAGCAACAACACCACCGAGAGCTGGTCAGACTTCCGCCCTGGGCACCCTGTGGATCGTGCCCTTTTTAGTAGGGGGCCGCCTCTCCAACAGAGGAAGCGGTGTCGTGACTATGATGGTGAGGAAAGCTGATTGAAATTTTTCCCATTAAAAGCTTTGTTATTTTTGTGGTTCTGCATGTTTGATCTGCGGGTTTCTGCTTTTCTTTTCTAGAAAAGGGCTTCTGCATGAGAGGAGACATGTGTCCTTTTGACCATGGAAGTGACCCAGTTGTAGTGGAGGATGTCAATTTGCCCAGCATGCTGCCCTTCCAACCTCCACCAATCCCAGGTGTGGACCCGCCGCCTCCACCGCCAGGCCTCCCACCACCACCCCCTCTCATGAACCCCCCGCCTGTGAACCTGCGGCCACCTGTGCCCCTACCAGGTGCCCTCCCTCCCAGCCTTCCACCTGTTGCAGGTAGGAATTCAGACATTTCTCTGAAACTTGAGTGGTGGCTTGGGCTAAACTGTGTAGTGTCCGAGAGTTAATACCTTATTTAAAAAAAAAAAAAATGAAATGAAAAAAATTTTTTAATGGGTTATTATAATTATTTTATTCCGAATGTGATTAAATTGAGTGGGTGTGAATAATTACATTTACCTGTCTAGAATCTTCAGAATTGCATTGCTAGGCAGCAGCTTGAGTCAAGCCTGCCTCCTGTTAGCATTTGCTATGTGTGAACAGGAAATAAAACCACAAACAACAAAAGACTATTGACGCTTTCAAAGGTAACAACATAAACAAACGGTACTGCGCATGTGCATTACTCTGGCCCAAACTTAACTTCTGGCAGACGTCCGCAAGCAATCCATAACAAGTAAATAACCTTAGCTGCCATTCGAAGAAAAGAAAGGTTACTTGGCTAGACTGAAATGTGATAAGGTCACACTACCAGACCCATTCAAAAAATCAAACCCAGTGAATAAACAAACAGAACGGAACGGAAGTTAACTTCGGGGCGGGCACATCACCTTGGGAACGCGTTCGATGAAAGCGTCTTTATGAAAGGTTAAAGTCCCCTTCCAGCTGTGCTATTTTGTCTACAGAGTAAAACCGTATACTTGATCTTCTGCATGTAAAGTTGACTTGTTATGAACTGAACTTAACTTAACTAAGAGGATAAATAGTAAACTGGAGAGATTAAAACAGAATCAGAGTTATTTCTGTTAATGTAGTCTATAAGAAACACAACATTGTTTATACATCACCACTACTTATATCACACTGACACTAATGATATTTTCATCAGCTTTAGCTGTAGATATTGTGTCCCTATATTAATAAGCATACCATACAGCTTACAGGCAGGTTTGCATTATGAAGTCCTTACCTTTATGTGTTGTGTCCTGAAGAATGGGGTATTTACACATTTTATATAGCCTCATTAGGTTGACAATAAAATTAATGACATTTTATGCGGTTGCAATCATATTGAACAGATGCATAGTGTATTAATGGTTAAACATGTTTTATATAAAGCTATTAATGTATTCTAATATTTATAAATTGCAATTAACAATAACACAAACATAAGATTGGTACTTTTTAAAATGTGCGGATGCAACAAATGGTCAAACTATGGTCAAAATTGAACAACATTTTAAACTAGAAAAGACTCAAGAGCAAACAAAGCTGTACAATTCTCAAAATTTTATTAATAAAAAATATTTTAAATAACATTTACTGGGTCTAAATGAAAATACACAGGTCATTCTTTTAACTGAGTACAGTGACAAAGCAAAATACTTTCTTGCAGTGCTGAGAACAACAAAAGTCACACCTCAAGCTTTGGCTGAGACATATTTGTTTACCAGATTAAATCTGTCATTTAGAGAGATTTTTTAGAAATCTTACAAATAGACAAATATGACTGAGTATGTCTTTGGCGGAGGATAATATTAATTGTAGGACTGGTCTGGCTTTGCCTTCATTAATAAAGATCTTAAGCTGAAAACCATGAACCAAGACTTCTTAAACCGTTAACCGACAAAGGCCGACTGCCTCATCCATCCATGAGGATCTTTTGGTCGATCTGCTAAGCGGGACAGGTGCAGTGGACTTCATGAGGGCTGATGCGTATGCTGGAGAAAGAAAAACATGTTTATAAAATATAACACACCATCACAGCAACCTCTCAGCTTCCATCGTTGTTGAAATGCAGAACTGAGAGAAACCTGTGGAAAAGGCAGATCATGCAGTTCACAAGTTGCACATGTGTGAAAAAACACAGAAGTAAAGACAACATATAGAAAAGACCAAATTCTCCTTGTATTGTGAGCCAACGCTGCTACCTTGTGACTAAAAAGTGGCGTTAGCTTTTGTTTGCACAGAATATCCATGTACATTAAATACTAGTTTCTGTTAATAAGGTACACCAAGCTAAAAGTGTTGCAGTCCAGTAAAACAGCCCTGCAATAAATTACATCTTCATGAATATAATTGGTCATGGTCGGTTTGTCTTTCTAACTAAACTAGAAAGACAAACCGACCATCAGACACACAGACAGAGAGACATACCTACTGTAAGTTCCAAGTAAATTACATGATAAATTGGTTAGCTAGCTCACAACTATGTTTATCGGTTGATGCTCTGACTTAACAAGGCGTGACGGCGTGACATTTTTTTTTCTAAGGAGGCATGACAGTGCGCCTGCGTGAACTTGGAGAATGACGTATGACTTATGGAATTACTATAGTCGTACGTCCCCACCCCGTTTTAGCCACTAAGCAATTTTTGCAACTATCATAGAAATGTCAAAATACACTGGAGGGGGGCTTTAAAAGGCAAGGAGTGGAATACAGTAACCAGTTTAATATAAGTCATATTTACAAAACTGGTTTGACTGGAAAGCATTTTGCAACTTTAATATTTTTTATTATGTTTTACTCCATCTGACGCAGGTCCCCCTCCTCCTCTTCCTCCACTGCAACCGTCAGGCATGGATGCTCCTCCAAATTCCATCACTAGCTCTGTTCCCACCATTGTCACCTCTGGGATGCGCTCCTCACTTCCCCAGGCCTCTGTGTCACTCTTCACCTCCGGTAATGGCTGTGTGTCTTTTTGTTACACATTTAATTTTGTATTTATAAATCACTGTACCTTGCCGTGCTGGTTTGAGTTAAAGTATGCTCTCTCTGCTGACCAGACAACTATGAAGCAGATGTGTACAACCCCGAGGCTCCTAGCATCACCAATACCTCCAGGCCGATCTACCGCCACCGGGTCAATGCCCAGAGACCCAACCTGATTGGCCTCACAATGGGGGAGGTGGACCAGCCACAGAGAGGTATTGTTCTCATGAACTGAATCATTTGAACTTGGAATAAATTATCTTAAAACATGATTGTAGCTCTCCCTCCTTCCATTGACATGCTTAGTATTTTGGTTAGTATAATATTAGACTGTTGCTGCTTCACAAACAAGGAGAATGACAGTATTAAGTACATGCTACTGCATTTGTGTTTCAGCTGTCTGTTTAAAAGTCTTGCACTAGAGTTATGATCTCTTTTTGAGCTGTGTGTTGTAGTTTCGGCCTGACCTATCAGTGTTTGTCCCTCACCAGACAAGATTCCAAACAACAGCATGAGGATTGTTATGGAATCTGATTCAAGAAAGAGACCAGTTGTCTCTCACGATGGAGGCCCCCCCCCCAAGAAACCTTGGTTTGACAAGTAAGACACCATTGTACTGTAAAATAAAAATAAGTCTCATGCTGCCTATTAAATCTATTTGTTAAGCACATTTGACTGAGTTATGTTTAAAACCATCCTCATTGAGTTGTTTAATAATTCCTCTTTTCTGCTCAGACCCAACTTCAACAAACCCAACCACCAGGGCTACCACAAAAGAGCCCCATTCTTTCCTAACACCAAGCTGCTGGTTCGGCAAATTCCTTCCGAGCTTAACAACATCAGCAAACTCAATGAACATTTCAGCAAGTTTGGCACCATCGTCAACTTACAGGTCAGTCCCTATGTGGTGCTGAAGATATGAAAGGCACAGCTTTGATGTTTAACAGTCAATACAGTATTTAGTTACTGTGTAGTGCAATCAGTGAAGTTTTGGTTTGTGGTGTGGTTTTAAATTTAATCTTTGTTATTGGCTTTGGCAAAATGTAGGTGGTTGAAATTAGGCAATTAAAGCAACCTGATAAACCAGTAATCAGTAATAAGATTTGCAACATTTGCAGTGTACCTAATTGTGAAATCTGCAAAGGTCAATGAAATGACCTTGAATCAGAGGTAACCAAAAGATAATTTAAAAATATATTAACTACACTATTCCAAGTGCTTTCAAGCACTGTTTTTTGAAGAATAATACAGTGAGTAATATACACTGTTAATGTAGTAGTTAAAGATGGTAAGGTGAGTCACATTATTGTAACCATTTGATAACCCAATAATGTTGAGTGAAATTTCACATGCATCATCTAGTGTTACTGTTAATATAGCTGTGTCACTTTACCATTTTTATTTCTTTTTGCAGGTGGCCTACCAGAATGACCCCGAGGGGGCGCTGATCCAGTTTGCCTCTCCAGACGAGGCCAAGCGGGCTATGCAAAGCACAGAGGCTGTCCTCAACAACCGCTTCATCAGGGTGCACTGGTTTCGTGACGATGGGAGTGATGGACATGGTCAGGGCCAGTCACACTCACAGCAGCAGCCTCAGCAACAGCCAGCCACGGTAAAAGCTAATTTTAAAACTGCCACTCATAACATTTGGTTATGTTGTAAAACGTTTTGTCTTAACACAAAGAAAAGATGTTGCCAGTATTTTCTTTGGCCGCCTAAATTAGTTCTTTAATTAATTAGTTCTTTGATAGGGTGGTGATGGCGCAGTGAATAAGACACATACCTTTTGGTGTGTGAGACCGGGGTTCAACTCCCCACCGTGACACATCCACCAATGTGTCCCTGAGCAAGACACTTAACCCCTAGTTGCTTCAGAGGCGTGCGACCTCTGACATATACAGCAATTGTAAATCGCTTTGGATAAAAAGCGTCAGCTAAATGAATACATGTAATGTAATGTTTAAGCAAAGGTATTTTTTGCCCTAAAATACTTCAATAGGGGTAACACACGGTAGGTTCGCTTTAATCTTGAAATGCTGCAGACTTGTAGTTCATTAGTCACTGTAACTTATACTGTACATTTCCAGCTAAACTGAGTCTTATCTTTTCTCTCCACTCGCCTGCCATTAACCGGTCTTGTGCGTCTTGCGTGCATGCCGTGCGGCTAAAAGCTGCATACATTCCTCGCGGGTATAATTCAAGTACTATTTAAAAATGATGTAATATTCTGTGTGGTTCATCAATGGTGATAAATGATCTGAAAGTCCCGCGAGGTGAGGACAACTCTGCACAACAACGGTGAAGTTAAGGCTCCATCTCTACAGCAAGTGCCTCTTCTGCCACTACACACTCACATGCTCACACATACATACACGCTACGCCTACACATGCCCACTGATGCCCCCTACCTTGAGGGTTAGGGTTCCAATTGCATATATTATTTATTAGGGCCCGAGCACGAAAGTGCAAGGAACCTATTGGTTTGCTCAGATTATTATTTTTTTCCTCCCCGATGAACTCCTTTTTGATATATACTCGAATCCTCATGAAAATTTGCGCACACCTCAGGTCTGGTGGGAAATCCAATGTTCTGCAGTGATTGGGGTTGGGTGTGGCCAGGGGGCTCAATTGCGCCCCTAAACAAACAATAGGTTTTGGACAAAGTTTCTTTGATGTGGTGGGATTATTGCTCTTATTACAAAGACCACATTTCTGCTTTTTTTTTTTTTTTTTTTTTTTTTATGAGATTTTGCTCAACAGGAAGTCAGCCATTTTGCACTTCCTGTGTCATTTTCAATATTTTAAACAGGTGTTTGAGGCCTGTAGGATGCTCAAAGAGCCACAAAACTTTGCAGCCAGACTCGAATGGGTAATATATGTATTTGTTGTCATTTTTGGGACTTTGGATTGCACGTTGTCTCTATAGCGCCCCCTAAATGCATTTGTAGCCCTCACATGCCTAGGAATACTCAAAACCTCATGAGACTTGGCATGTACATCAAAAGTGTTTTTTATTGTCTGATATGGTTTGGGAGCGTGGTTGTGGAAAATTGGCTCAATAGCGCCAACAAAGCAGCCCCTGCTGAATTTTTTGCCTAACTGTACAAAAAGTTGGGGGGCGATGTATCATCTCCAGACTTAAAAATAAGCCTCTTAGAGCTATACCCTAAACCCAACAGGAAGTCGACCATTTTGAATTATTTACATGCGTTTTCCCTGTTTAAATGCTCCGTACTTTAACAAACTCCTCTTAGAGCTTTAACCCAATCGAATTCAAATATGGGTAGGCCCATCTTAAGAACCATGCGATGTTAAATTGCGAAGCTTTTTTTGATTGCTCAAACAGCATGGCCACGGCATGGCATTCAATTGTGATGTTTCGCCATGAAAAAGGAAGTTGCATGTAAATGGACTAGACATGGTCAGATATGTCCCAAAATTCACAAATAAACCTCTTAGAGACTGTCAATATCCAGTCATAGTGATGGTGCCACTTACTGGCATCTGGAAAGGACACGTTTAAAAATGAATTTCTTAGGCCTCTATATTTTTACCCCACTTAGCAAATGGACTCAATGTCCATTGAATGACAAAAATGTCCATAGTGAGGCATTTATGCTCCTCTTAACAGGTTGACCACATCCATCTTAAAGTTCTTGTCAAATGCTCTCGCCTTGGTGAGTAATTATTCGCAATTAACTAGGAAGCTGTTTTTTGAGAGTTATACCCTAAACCCAACCAGAAGTCAGCCACTTTGAATTGAATAACTGACACCACAACCATACTATATGAAATATTTTCAACACGTCACCTGTTAGATTTTTGCATTGATAACTTCAGAGCCGTGTCAGCTGGAGTGTGATGCAAGAGTCCCAGCTGTCGCTGCACCCAAGGCCCGCAAGGGGGTGAGGGCCTGCCACACCACAGCATTGATATCTTGGCTTTCGCATGTTGTCACTTGGAAAAAACATGTTGCATTAATGCCAGTGCTGCCTCCACTTAAAGTCATAGTTTTCACGTGATGTCGCATTCCAAGGAAAACGCTCACTTCGAGGGCAAAAAAGGAAGCAAGTGATACAATGTTACTTTGAGTTTGTTTCTTTTGCGTTGCCAAAATGCTGGATGGTTGTTGTGCTTTCGGACGCACTAATCGATGAGGAGACAACACTGAGCTGTGTTAGGTGAGGGATTCCCCTCAAGGTAAACGTAAACATTACCACGGTCGAGCGCTGGTGGTTTTTAACGGCAGAAATATGGCTACGGGTGCTGTATATGGATCGCAAGTGCCCAACACTTTTGAGTGTTGAGAGCTGATCCAAATTAAATGTAATGGCTTTTGAGGCGTCTCTGAGGGAGTTGCGCTGTGAGCCACTATGTTGGTCTGTTGTTTTGCCCTCCAGGTCACCGCGCATGCCACGTGACTGAAAACTATGAATAGAGGACCTTATTCACTGAGATATTCTTGGAGACATCGAAAGTCAATAAACAAAGCACATGATACAGAAGCATCTAAAGGTTCAGCACTGCAAGACAACAAATAGTCTGACAGTGCATATTAACATAGCCACTAATGCATTAAGTCAGACTTAATGTGATTAACATGTCCTTTGTCGTTCAGCAGCCCACAGCCACGTCTCTGAAGCAGTCTGTCAAAGATCGCCTTGGACCCGCGCTCACTGGGAACTCTGAGCCCTCACAAGATTCCAGCGTAGCCTCTCAGGTGTGTGTGGGAGATTGTGTTGAAAGTGTGCATTTTCACATTTACTTTACAAAATCTGCAGATGGTCTATAAACATTATGTATATTTTTCCCTATTTGTGCAGAATCCTTCTAAAATGTCAGTGAAGGACCGTTTGGGGTTCTCTGCCAAACCAGCAGCTCCTGTTGAAAAAGTAAGTGTTCACTCACTGTTCAGAGTTAATAATTTTATTTTGGAATTTTCTCATCACTTTTCTCCCATTTTCAGGTGTTTTCGACTTCCATGGGCCTCACAAAGACTGTATATAATCCTGCTGCCCTGAAGGCTGCCCAGAAAACCTCAGAGGAAGTGCTGAAGAAGAAACAGGTGAGAGGAGAAATGGAGGGAATGGTGGAAAAGGGGGAGTAGAAATGGGAAGCAAGCAACTCGGTACAGTACATAATCATTTCCCATAATTCCTTTCACAGGAAGCTCTAAGGCTACAGCAGGATGTGAGAAAGAAGAAGCAGGAAATATTGGAGAAGCACATTGAGACACAGAAGGTAAGATAATCTGGGGCCGTATTACAAACTTGCAGATCCTATCTTAACTGTTAGGTAACCATGGTAATAAGTTAGGACCTGATTTAGGACAAAAGCCGTTACAGATGAACAGTTCTTAAGTCAATGTTACTATCCTAACTTAAGATTGGAAAAGTGTATAACACAAGCATCCTAACTTCTCAAAATCTTAAATTAAACTTTAGGATAACTGTTAGGCTGTCCTAACTTAAATTTTTCCACCAGGTAGTGTTTGTTAATTTCTTTAAACAAAATGTCAACAAGTGGAACTTATTCATTTATAGGCTTATGCCAGAGCCTAGCGATGTATTGTGGTTTGATGACATTTCGTTAGTAGAAAAGGCTGTAGGGCATGTAACACTAGATAATGCATCATTATTAGGGGTGTAACGGTACATGTATTCGTTCCGGACCGTTTCGTTACAGGACTTTTGGAACGGTGCACATGTGCACTGAATGCAATCTTTAACGGCATGTATTATGCTTGTCTTGAGTGTGGAACATGCATAAATTCCGAGTTTCCACATGGACATATTAAGTGGTGGACCAAATCTCAGCATTGAAGCGCTACAGCACTACACAAGCAGCTGCTTTAGCTCAGCCTCTCGCTGACTAGTGACTTGAGCATCACGGCCAGTGCAGAGAAGCCAGAGCTTTAAGACCTTTCCCTTATTGTTAAGGTCTTCTGTTTGGGAATTCTTCTGTTTCCTAGTGAAATACAACAACAGACAAGTTGATAAGACGAAAGCAGTCGGCCGTCACTTAGTTAGTAGACAGAATAAAAAGAATAAGAAGAATGCTGCACTGTAATCCATATTAATATATATTTTTATTATATTTTATATATTGTTTTGAGAATATTTTATTTAGTATTTTATTTCTTATTCTTTTTTATTTTATATAATTTATTTATGTGTAATTTGGAAGTTTGTTTAAAAAATTGTAAAGTAATATGGATGTTTACAAAAGTTCATAAGAAACCAGTATCAATTTAATGTTTGCATTTTTTTTCCCTTACTGTACCGAAAATAAACCGAATCGTGACTTAAAAACCGAGGTACATTCCGAACCGAGATTTTTGTGTACCGTTACACCCCTAATCATTATATAACAGAATGTAAAGGCTAGATGTCACAAAAGTATCGTAATACAAGTCTACAATAGGAGATCAGTGAAGACAAGAAAACTATGAAAAACATTTTTTTTTTAATTTAGCCCACAGCCTTTATTACCTACATAGTTCACTTTCCCGAGGTGACCCACAATACGGGTTTCTGCCGGGGTTGGTGAAGAGGACAAGAGGAGCCACCACCGGTTTTCTTCTGCTCTTCAGACAAAAGCTGCCTTTCTCTCTATCTATCACGTGTCAGTGTAGGCTACTTTTTTTATTTTTGATAGCAACTTAACTTAAGATAGGATATTTCTGTAATACGGCCAGTAGAGGTTTTAATTAGGGGTGTCTTGGCACACAACATTCACAGGTACAGTAGGGACTACAAAAAATGTAGAAAATAAAATGTTTCATTTAAAAAAATCAATAATGTCTCATTGGCCATAATTATTAATGTAACAGTTAAGCCACTTAAATAATGTCATATTTTCAAGAAGAAATAAATGACACAAATGTCAGTAATGCTCCATAGTAAGAAGGTAATTCCTGTGGCTTGCACTCATTTAAACAGGGCTGACCCAACAGACGATATTACTGAATGAATACAGAAGGATACACCAATGGTTTTTGGATTTTTGATAAATGACACTCTCCACAGAAATGTCTTCAATGCACAAAAAAATTTATTGTTGTACATGAATGTAAAACAACACAACACACATTTTTTATTTTAAATAAATAGAAATCCACAAAATATGTATTTTAAAGTAGTTGTAGTTTTTATCAAAAAACATATTTGGATGATACATGGATGTTACATTTATATACAAACTGTTATGACGATGTCATTCGTGAACTTGACTGCATTTTTATGTGGGTGGGGATACCGTGGTGGTTTCTATCGTTGATTCTGTCTCGATTTCAGAACAACTACACCCTGAGTTTTAATACACTTCTTGTACATTGAAGTGTCCCCATCCGCTGTGTGCATTTAGATTGCGCGACCTCTCTATAAAAAAGTTAGATGTCAGTGTGTGAGCTGCGAAAGAAGTCTGACCCTCTTGCGCAACATGCAGAGTCTCCAAGTCAGCCTATGTTTTGTTTTTGTGTAGATTTACCAACGGTGTTTGAAAGCTTTGTGTGGGATCTGTGACTCTTTACTTCCAGGGAGTTATGTTTTCCCGTGCCGTTTGTCTGTCAGCAGGATTCTGGAAAAGCTACTGGCCAAATTTGCATGAAACTTGGTGGCAAGGTTTAGCAGGGCCCATAGAATAACCCATTACATTTTAGAGGATTCGAATCACAGGGTGGATACATGAACTTTTTTCAATTTTATTAAAATTGTGAGAGGGGTCAATTATGACACCAGTGTTTATAGCAAAATGAACTGAATACATAGTTCATGCGTGAACCCGTTGTACATACAGAGAATGTTTTGCCGCAACAAAACATAACATCCACCTCAAACATCACTGTACAATAAAAAAGTATGTAAGAAATATGCAGTCAGGGAGGTGTTTTTTTTCCAGATTAAACCGGACTTCCAGATTTCCCGACCTGTGCGAAGTACAGAGACTTCAGCTAGGCACAACCATACGGTTTTTGACATAGGCCTATTGTAATTCTAATAGTTTTGGAAATATATTAAAACATATACAGCCTAGTGGTTAGAAGACTGGACTATTGGCCTTGGCACTAGTTAAACTTGTGATTCTGTTTTTCTGCTCTCATCCGCTACAGCTCCTGATATCCAAACTTGAGAAGAACAAAGCAATGAAAGCAGAGGATAAAGCCAAAATCATGGAAACTTTGGGCATGTTAACCAAGAGCATCACCAAACTGCAAGAGGAGATAAAAGGAATCTCAAGCGGCAACAACCCTCTACGCACAGCCAAGAGCAAGGCCCAGGTAATGCTTTCTCCCAGCTAGTGACATCATGCAACACACACACACTCTCACGGCTACTTATTAAAAACCTGATAGATTGTGATATTCTTTTGAACTGATTGGTTTAGCTTTTCCACTGGCTTTTGATATAAAATTCGTTGGGCCTCATTCTTGCTGTATCTCCTCACTTAGCAAGCAACTGGATATCTGTTTCCCTCAATATCCAGTTGTCTTTGACTTATTACTTCCCCCTTGCAATGTCATCTTCCTTGATGTGAAATAATTATATGTTCAGGCACAGAAAGAGCTGCTAGATGCAGAGCTGGACCTGTACAAGAAGACTCAGGCCGGAGAGGACACTGCTTTGTTGAAGATCAAGTATACCCAGCTGCAAATTGAGGTATTGACGTTGATCTTGATCCTTAATGTTTGAAATCAAGTGCTAAAAATTGTGTTCTTGTCATGTTAAATGGTCTATTGGGAGTTTCATCTCCACAATAGATCCACAATTCAACAGTTATGTGTTTAAAGAGATCAGTCAGATGTTTGTGCTCTGTTTGACTTCCTTCCATCCCTGTTTTTGTTTTCATCCAGGCAGCTAAAAGGGGACTCCTGTCACCGGGAAGAGGCCGGGGAGTCCACCCTCGGGGCCGTGGTGCTCTCAGGGCCCGGGGAAGGGGCTCCAGAGGACGAGGAAGAGGTGCGCCACTGCATGCAGTTGTGGACCATCGGCCACGAGCGCTGGAGATTTGTGGTTTCACCGAGGCAGACCGAGTAGACTTGCTCCCACACTTTGCTGTAAGTCAGCCTAAAACTGCATTACTGAGAAAAGGAGTTAATACATGGTATCAACCCAGTATGACCTTTTGATGGAAGCTGTAGGTGGGAGATCAGGGCACTGCTAGCTTAACTATTATGGGGGTGAACATCCAATGCTTGTGGGTCAGTATGGGAATAATAAATAGAATATTTATAATAATAATAGAAAAAACAAAATACAAAATCAGGCACAGTACAAAATCTGAACATCTGCATAGCCTATACATTTTTCTATATTTGGAAATTGATTATTACCCCAAAGTGATAACACAATAAATTGATATCTACTCATGCTGTCAGAAACACACAAACACCACATGACAGTCACAGGTATCCAGGCTTTTGAATAATGTGTACCAGTTAATCTCAGTCCCCCCAATGTTCAATATGAATACTTTCAAAACTGTCAAATTTAACAGCATTGATACATAAACCAAACTTGTAATCTCAAATTTAGCATAACTGTAAAAATAAGGTAATGGAGCTACTTTATTAAAAGCATATTGTAGAAAGGCCAGAAAAGTAATTTAAGATTTGTTTAGTAATTGTTTATTAGGTACCTCCAGTAACAGGAAATACATAAGATAATTTTTTCAATAATGGCACAGGAATTAGTTTGTAAAGTGACCTAAACATTGTGTGTTCATTTTTAAAATTTTAAGCAATTTGGAGAGATTGAAGACTGCCAGATTGATGAGAACAATCTGTCTGCGGTCATCACTTACAAGACGAGAGCGGAGGCAGAACAGGTGGGTCAACTGCCAGATATGTACATGTTAAAGTTGGTGGTATTTTCCAGTTTTTTGTATTGAATTAGACATTGCTTCAGCTGGAGCACCAAAATCTGCTTGGTACTTTGATTAAGCCCCATTATTTTCATAATTCTTGACGTAACGTTTTTACACTTCATAATGTCTTTCTCCTCTAACCATGTTTTTTTTTTTTTTTTTTTCTTCTGCTCTCTATGTTTCGTCCACCTACAGGCGGCTCTTCATGGAGTGAGATTCAACAACCAGACTTTACGCCTGGCCTGGCATAAAGCTGTCACGACTCTCAGTACTGCGGATGCTGATGAGGCAGAACCAGATGAGGATGAGGTTTGTGGACATTTCTCACTTTGCATATATTTAAATGCTTCTCTTTATAGTACCTATGGTAGCCAATCAGGACCTCGAGGAGAGGGGTAAGATTGGTATTATTTCTTCCAGAGATACCACTGATTGTAGAATTAAAATCCTCTAACAAATATTTACTGTGATGGAGATATTTGGATGTTCTCTGTTCACATATCATATCAGACAATCTTCTTCAATGTCTGTTTCTTGTTATGTTACATTTAGAGTACACAAGAGGGAGCCATTTCCCATTACAGCAAGGATTGTGTTTGTATGGCTGTTTCATTGCCACTTATACTTTCATTAAGCAGCTGTTCTGTCTGCAGCTACATAAATACATGCTACAAGTTGATGATGCTCAAAATAAAAGGTCTTTCTACTTTTGTTCACTTTTTAATCCTCTATAGAGAGCCCTAATGTAAGCGTTTGTGTTTTTTGTTTGCTTTTTCACTCCTATCAGTACCCGGAAGAGTCGCTGAGCGACGACGCTTTGCTGCAAGATGACGATGAAGAAGAAGATGACAACGAGCCTCGCTCCTGGCGCAGATGAAGATCAGTTAGTCGCTCTTCCCTGGTTGCACTGGTGTGGACAAGCAACAATCCAGCAACTTTATAAGACTTCAAAGCCTGTTTATACATCAAGACACATTTCACTTTGGCTAGACTCCCCCCCAGAAATGAGTAACTGGCAGAAGAACCACGTGCGAGTTTGATTCATTTTAACAATTTAAAAATGGTTTTGGATGATTTTTTTTAATGCTCTTAATGTAGACACACTTCTGTAATTTTTTTTTTTTTTGTTTTTTTTGTGAATAACAAAACACAAATAGTTTGTCTGGAAATGTGACTGCTGATCACTTAAAGACACATTTGTTGGAATTGTCAGTTTTAAGAAAAAACTTTTGTTGTAATTTAACTGAATGACAGACTGTAACTTTTGCAGAATAGTATTAGGTTGACTGGTTTAAATGCTCATGTGTAAATATTTTATGTCTGGGTTTCAATGATTTGTATGAAAGCTTGGCTTCTCCCATTCTTGGCTTTACTTTGGATTGTACAAAAAATAAAGAATTGAAATGGTCTGAAAACATCCTGCCAAAAAAAAAAAGAAAATACAAAAAAAAGAGAGATAATGCTGTGGCAGTGGGAAAAAAAAACACTGAAAGAGCTGAAAGACCATTTCATAAAACAAAACCTTCCTCTTCCCCTAAAGAGCAAACTTCCTACAAAATACTTTTATCAACACTTTTTTTGTTTTGGATCGGTAAGGTAACCTAATATATACCACTGATTTCCATGTTACGGTAAGAACATGAAATGATCTGACTGTATATTTTTGCAAAATCCTAAGAACAATCTTTATTTGCCCATCTCTCAAGTATATATGGTCTAAATAGTAATACAACAACAACTAAGAACTTTTGTGTTTTTCTTGCAGGAGCCGTCTGTCAAGTGTCCAGCTACAACGCTTCCTTCTCCAAGAGGCTTCAATATTTTTGAATGTTATGTTGTTCATTAATATTGTCTAATGTTAAGGATATTTATTGTCTTTATTTGGTGTCAAGTGCTGCTGTATTAAAATAGAAATTTCTTTTATCATTTTGTTCTTTTGTTCTTGAGCCAAGGTGTTCAGGGCCTTTAAATCATGTTGTATGTATCTGGCTTCCAATAAGCGAGAAGTATCTTGCATTGTGCTCATGACATATTGGTGTCGTCGTAATAATGAGTTTTGGACTCCCAGCTTTCACGGTAACTTCCAAATTGTAATTATGACTGAGAGAAACTGATTTTTATGACAGTTTTTATGTGTAGATAGACCGATCTCTCTCTCTCTCTCGATAGATAGATATCAGATTTGGCATTTACTAATACAAATGTCACATTAATCAAAGATAGGCATTCAGTGTAGTTAACCCCAAATTTAATTAAAATGTCAATTACATGACCAACTCTAATCACACATGCATTGTGGTGTTGTACTGTCTGCTTATTGGTTTTGTGTTGGGATCAACCTCTTTTTGTACAAATGTTTCAGGGTTTTGTCACTTGTTTTGTACAGTTCTTGTAACATAAACCATTTTTACAACCTTCTCTCCAGTAGGCCTTGTAATAGACTTGTGATGGTAGGAGAAACACAGGTGTAAGTGATAACATTAACGATGGCTATGTTTTATAAGTGTCCCAGTAAGCCATGTCTGTGGAACGGTGAGCCAGCATGCACAATACCTGACTCTAAAACTGCGAAGCACCTAAATGGAGTGAAATGGCCATTATTAACTTCATTATTTGCACTTGTGCTTTTCCTGCTGTGACATGTCAAAATGTCTAATGTGTAAAAGGCATATCTCTAACTTTTGAACTGTCCCTACTTTACAACTAGTCACTCTTTTCTTTCTGCAAACCCAAAGTGAGGATAATTTGTGGTGTTCTGGTAAAAAGGGATTTTGCTTTCTGTATGAGGTTGGTATACACCTGCAGAGAGGCTCTCCACAGTACAGCCCCCACAATCCCTCAGCCTCGAATAAGAGAGGACAAATAACCCAATCAGCGTCCACTAGTTCAGTGTTCCTGTGCCACCCCTGGTGCCTGTCAGGCTCGCAGAGATAATTGTGAGAAATCAGATTTGCTCTTATGGAATAGCTGCTGTTCATCATTTAAGCCCTTTTCCCCTGCTCCACCACCAAAAAGACCTTCCCTCATCCCTCTGTCTCAGCATGGGAGTGTTAAATGCCCCCTCCAGTCATCTCATTTACCTACTGTGGTGCTACCAAACTCACACAAGCATCATTTGTGATCAAACAAGCGGTTGCAGTTTTACATGCACACTTGTGTAGTTGTGTCACAAACCTATAGCTTTTACTTGTCGCATCACCGGTTTGATTGACACAAATAACCATATTTCCTGACATTTGTTTAGTAGCACTTGGTGGAACGGCTACACAAATAAATGTGTTACAGAATATTTTGGACTGTGCCCCGTGCTGTCTACAGCCATGCTGATATGACCAGTATGCAGGAATGTCTGAGAGATCTGCCTGCCTCCCTTTGTGTCTCAGTGGGCAGAGGATGTTTATATGCTCTGTGTGAGCTCGGAAAATATGGGCTAACAAGTTTACAGCATCTGTGTCATCCATTATATCAATCTTTACTTTCTGATTTGTGTCAAGGAGACAAATGGCATGAAATTCTGGAACGAGCTGTAATAATGTTGATTCCCCCCCCCCCCCCCCCCTCTTTTGTGTATGGACAAGGCAGATGAAATGTATGAAAGTATGTTTCACTAGGGAAAGAAAGAAGTGTGTTCGAAGTCTCACTTTTGTTTGCTTGGAGATTTGCTGTCTGTCAAAATGTGTGTGAAAATGATTGTAGTATCTTTTAGAAGTCCTCAGGGGCTCAATAAGTCGGTCATATGGATATGCAAGAACTAGGAAAATGCACAACATTACACACTTCTAATGTATTTATTCATATTCATTTGAATATTATCCCTGCATTTTCACAACACGAAAACACTGCAGCATGCCAATTAACTCCAATTACCACTTAACCAATTTTGTAGAATAATACGTACAAAATCTGTCCTAATGAATGGATTATGTGCAATAATGTTTTGGTCACTTATCCGTTTAAGGTTAAGATACAATATAAGGAAGGTGTTTTTGATCTCAAATCAACAGTGACTCCTCCCAACACATTGCTCTATGTTTTCACATGCATTGCCCCCATCTCTACAATGCCAGTTCTCTGTAAAGGCATTAATATTTTATGTGATCATAGGCCTCCATAAGCAAATTTCAGTCGCTAGCAAGTTGAGCCAAAGAATGATTAATTTAGTATTTATACTCCGACAACTCTTTAAACAACACAGGGCCCCTGGCCACAAAGCAAGGCACAGTTTGAAACAAAACTAGCAGCCCCCTAAATCATAATCAGCACAGTCATTCAGGATTATTTGAGTTTGGGGACACATTTTTTTTCTTCTGTAAAACCAGCTGCAGTTTTGGTGTGGAATCAGTGCCTGTGTGAGCACGGCAGCCACAGTTGTAAAGCTTCACCAGTGGAATTTAGTGTTACATAAAAGAAATCTTTGTTATTACTCAGCTGCAAGACAAAATGTCATAATACCAAACCCAGTGGTGTCAGTAAAAACACCAGTACAACAATATTAAATTACAAGTTCCGTATTATTATTATCAGCGAAGTATACTTTAAGTATTTACTCTTTAATGTTATAGGCCAGGGAATAATGCCACCTGAGCCTTGGCCTCGTGGCTCAGGTTGTTAGATGCTGCTCCCTAATTATTATTATTTATTCTCTGTTATTTGGATATGATTGGCCTATTCCTGGGACAGTACTTGTTATTGCTGATCTGTTGCTTTTCCTTTTGGTTCTTGTGGGCCTCTGTAGTCAATAAAAATACAATATTGGATTGCATGTAGAAGTGGAACAACTTAATATACTTTTGGGTAATTTAAACTGTCTAGTTAATGAGGTCATCATCTACTTTGTGTCAAATAACTACAACTGTCACACAAATTTAGTAGAGTAAAATAAATAAATAATATAAAAATATAAAGTGGTATAAATAAATACCCAAGTAAAGTACCATAAATGTATACTTAAAGTGGCTATAATCTTTATTTTCATGATAACATTATAACAAATGACAATGTGAAAGGAGTTGTTTGTAATGACAAACCTACAGAGAATTATCATGTCAATCAGCAGCTCCCCTAAAAATAATGGAGCTTTATAGTGAGTTTCAGCTCATTGGGTAGCTGTTCGACCAGCAAGTTTACTTTTTTGTTTCACTCTCACCACTGTTATCGTGTCGTTTTGACAGCAGGCAGATGTTTACAGAGGAAAAGGTTCGATAACCGATTGTACACTACCTTCGGCAGACAGACACAGTAAGTTAGACTAGCTGGTAAATAGCAGTAGCTCCATAGTGGAGCATTTAGCAGCTAAAGAGCCAAATATTTCTTACAGGAGTTGGTACATTCAAAACCTGAAATAGAGTGAATTTTAAACTTACATTCACTAGATGGGTCACACACACAATCTCCAAATGAATGATAATGTTGCTCCGTATATGCTGGAGGTATACAACTTTACTATATAAGCTTAAAATGTGATCATATGCTGTGACCCTGCTGAATAGCATCTTTGCACTCACACTGGACTGCTCACAGTACTTTAATGTACATGTTATTTGCACTATTCATATTTTTGCACAGACCTCTACACTGTTTAATAATGTTACTTTACATATAACCAACTATATATATAACCTACTGTGTATGTGTACACTCTTACTCATACTCACCAAATCGATAGATGCTGTTCATAATGTACATACAACCTTACATGTGCATTTGCACACTCTTAACTGTCAACTTCTCCTCCTTTTTAACTCACATATACTGTATAATATTTGTATATTGTGACTCCACTGTACACATTGTGAGCATAACTGCACTTATCTGTATAAAACACTATATTTCTGCACTTCTATGCAATTTCATTAGCTCTGTGTAATGACAATAAAGCTGAATTGAATCTAATCTAAATGTACTACATTTGCATTACAACAGTTAAAGTGGAAACAAGTCATATGACTGGACACAACGAGTGGCTCTCTGGTGATTTTTCTGCAGTTTCCTTTTCCCTGTTAGGAAGAGTGTGTGTTATTGCAGTATGTCATTCACTATCTAATTAGGTTGTACACTAACATGATCACTGTACAGTTCAACTTCATTAAGGATAATCTCTGTGCAGACACTGCTGGACACAGCAGGCCCCTCCCTCTGCCCTCCCTCCTGTCATTGATTGGTGGAGTGATTTGCAACATGTAATCCAATGCTCTGTGACAGGTTGTAACTGAGGTTAAAGATGGCAATTTAATTATGTGTCAGAGGTCACATTAAAGGCTGACCCTTGACCCATTGCTACATGACTGATTATTGGCAACCTTGTGTTATTGTTTCAACTGATCAAAATAACAGACTAATACGAGTGCAGAATAGCAGGCAATTGATCCAGGACCGATGGTTTGGGGTTTCTGAAATGAGAATTTAAGCATCCTCTCATGTCCAGCTTCTGTTGGTTGATTTCCTAGTACTGGTTTGGAAATGTGCAGCCGTTTTGGTCAATTGTGTACATTATTCAGTAACATAAATCCTGTCATGTACTATT